AGAGAGAGAGAGAGAGAGAGAGAGAGAGAGAGAGAGAGAGAGAGAGAGAGACAGGGGGGAGAAAGACAGGCAGACAGATAGAGAGAATGGGGCAAAGACAGAAAAAGACAGAGGCAGAGAGAGAATGACTTGATATGGGAAAAACGTCTTTTTTTAACAACAAAACCAGTAAGACTGGGCTTTGTTAGGCTCTTTATTTTTGTTGCTCTTCCTTCTGTCGCTTCGGGCTTTCTTTATGGGTTTTGGTTTTTACGCGAGAGAACACAGGAAGACTATGTGGTTAGGCTACCGGACTCGTAATCGTGTGGTTGGGGATTTTGGGGTTCGAGCCGCGGGCCCGACGTTGTGTCCTTGAGAAGGTCACTTTACACGAATTATCCTAACTTCACCCAGGTGGGAATGGGTCCCGGGCGAGGATACCGGAACTAAATCCCCGGGCAATATACAGCGAAAGATCTTGTCAGTATGTTAGTGTTTTAGCGCCTATAAATGGCCGCTTGCACTGTATGCTTCCCAGGAAGCTGAGGGTTGTTGTTTTTTCAGAATGCTCTCAGGTCTGCTGGGGCAATTGTATAGATTGTGAAGCGCAAAGAGTAGCGCAAAGAGTTTGCTGTTGAGCGGGGATTTGCACTATGCAAATGCTATCTATTACTATTTTTAAGATTATGGAAGAGGCGCCAAGCTCAACTTGACGTCTGACTCCGATAGGAAATGGTCGCAGGAGATGGTCGCAGCAGATGGCCACAGAGATGAAGAAAACCCATACCCAAAAAGCAGACTCTTGGGCAGATTCAAACCACCTCCCGCGATCTGACCGGGAGTACTCGACGGAGCCCTCCTACCACACAACGTCCGTCTTCTCAGGAGAGTCAAGGTCAGACCTAGCGGTGGTCACATGACAGAACGTCGTGACAGGGAGCGGACAGGGTCACGGGGGTCATACATCAGAGGTTATCGGAGTCGGCCGCCGGAGCAGCCAGTTATGTAAAACAGACAGAGACCAGTCGTGTGTGAGAGAGAGAAAGAGAGAGAGAGAGAGAGAGAGAGAGAGAGAGAGAGAGAGAGAGAGAGAGA